CCATTTATTCATCACAAATATGTTTGTTCGATAAACACTTGAGAGTCTGCAAGTACCATGTGTTGGGTGCTGGGGCTTCAGCAGAAAATACGCCAAAGTTCTGACCTGCTAGAATGCCCCGGCTGGTGGGGACCACATGCTAGGTCTCACATGTCTATCAGGCACTGCTTTCAACAACTCCGGGAGCTAGAACTCCTGGCTTCGTCTTTCCAGCTGACAAAGTTTAGGCTCAAAAGAGTTCAAAACTTGAACCAGAATTCAAACCCACTGTCTTCTCTACTCCCTTTCAACTTCACCTCAGCCGAGATCTCATACTTTGCTGTTTCATGATTCCTCACATTTTGTCAAGTAAACTCATGCATTAATGTAAGTGAGTGGACTTAGGCCTGTCCTGGAGCTTTGAGTCAAAAGGGACAGAGAAAGAGAAATATTTAGAGGAGAGGAGAGGTGTGGCAAAAAATCTAGACATGTGGACACAGTAATTGAGGTAGCAAAGAGGATTTAGCAGAAAAGAAATGAAGATAGATTCATAATATGTTATTTCACTTCTAGTTTTACAGAATCTTAGCTATTATTTAAGGCAACATTCAAACTGGCATACACAGAGGGTCCATTGTTAAGATCTGTTTGCTGAAATACTGCTTTAAGAATTACTTTGGTTGATAACTAAAATGCTTTTGAGAACTAAAAAACTAGTTTTAGTAGCTTAATTATAGGGTTTTACATAATGGTAGATGCTATTTTGAAATAACTTAATATATAGTATATTTAAATTTCATCCCTTTAAAAAACTGCCTGGTGGTGACTAAGTCTACATGGGGGGCAGGAAGGGCTAAAGTATTTTATAACATTTGGCATCATCACATTGTCATTATTTGAAATAATTGAAAGAGCAATATAAGATAGGAATGAATCTGACCTTCTCCAAGTAAGTATTAACATATTTTCTAAAATACAGCTAGAAAAAAAATGAAACAGGAAAAGTTAGAATCATTTTAAGCCTTGTGCTTACTTTTAATTCCTCATCAAAATGTTTGATAGATAAGTGTAAGGGTCTTCATTCATTCATGCACACATGCATCTCTTCAGCAAACACTTATTGAAAGTCTACTTGGTTCCAGGGCCAATACTAACTACCAAGGTGATTAAAATACATTTCCTCTCTGCAAGAAGCTCACAGATAGTTACAGCATAATGAGTGAGTATAATGATAGAAGGAGACAAAGAAGACAGGGCAGGGGTGGGCAGGCAGGGTAGGCTCCTGAAGGAGGTGACAGCTAGACTGAGTATTAATGATTGGATTGATGCGTGCACGTGTGTGTGTGTGTGTGTGTGTGTGTGTGTGTGATCTGAGTACAGGTCTTTTACCTCCTTAGTTAAGTTTATTCTTAGATATCTTAATTTTTTTGGTGCAATGGTAAATGGGATTTTTTTTTTTTTTTAGTTTCTCTTTCTCTGAGTTCACTATTGGTGTATAAAAAAAAGCCATTGATTTCTGGGTGTTAATTTTGTATGTGTGTGTGATCTGAGATAGAGTTAAACAAACACACATGGTGATCGTGGGGGAACTTCAAGACATTTGATTTTGGTGAACTATCATGTGTGAGGTGAAAGAGTCAATCAGTGACCCTAGGCAGGCAGGCACCAGCCCAGAGAACCCAACAACTAACATCCACTGAGTGCTCACTACATGCCAGATGCTATTCGTCTCATTTAATTCTTCCACTGTCCTATCCTATGAAGTAAGTACTATTTTTTCATCCCCATATTACAGATGAAATAACTGAGGCATAGTTTGGTCAAGCAGCTTGCCAAAGTGGAGCCAGGATCTGAGCACAGGCGGTCTAGAGTCCATGCTCTTCACTCCTGACACCATGCCCCGTGGCAGTGGGGACTTAGTAGAGACGCATTTTTTTTTCAGCAGGGTAGCAGAATGATTGAATTGTATACAATAGTCTGAATACAAAAAAAACATTTTGTGGATGAAAAGGGACTCTCTAATAAATCTAACCAGAAGTAATCTCACAAGGTGATCTGATCATAAATTCCTAACAGGATAGGTCATGGTGCGTAGTCATGCTTCAGGCCTATAACTTCCCTGGGAGAAGGTTATCTTTGCTTTATGCAAGCACTCTGTTGTTTTGTTTTGTTTTGTTTTGTTTTGCATCTAGGTTAAAGCACCTTTGAAAATGCCCGCTTTTATAGACCCCTCAGAAGTTGAACCACCTTCAACTGAGCATATAATCTTAACTATCATATAGTCCAATCATAGAGATTTCCCCAACTTGCTTTCCAATCTTAATTCCCTACTTAATTCAAAACATATAAAAGAAACTGCAAACTGTCATTCTGGAAAACATTTTTCTCAGTCTGTTGAGATCCTGCTTCCAGGCATGCCCTCTGTTTGGCTCAAATAAACTCTTATAAAAATTTTCTATGGGTTTGGATGTTCTTACAGTGACAATTTTAATAAACCCACAGACTTAAAATTAAATTTTAAAAGGAGCTAAAACAGGCAGAGCAGTGAGTGTCCAGAGAGCCACTCTCTCCAAATAGAATGCACCCTGAATCGAGAACCAAGGCAGGGAGTATCACTGACTGGCTAGGCGAATAGGAATTCTCCCATATGAGATTACTCAGCGAGAGGAAAGGTCTAGCCTGCTTGGCTGTTACATTTCTCTCTGTAAACGAATGAAGATAAATTGTGAATCCTTGACCTAGGATTCCTGTAACTGAACTGTCAGCATCAAAGTACTATCAACTTGAGAGGTCTTGTGCAAACTGCCACCTCTTCCCACTTTATGCCCCGCAGCACCTATCTGCGAAGAGCAAACATTGACTTCCAGGTCTAGTAATGACAATTGAACAAGCTGCCAGGCCAATGAGTCTCTGGTGCCTGCCCCTCTTCCTCAGGGGTCCCTAGTCACATGTGTTGACTTAAGAAACTTCCAAATCTGTAGAGAATTTTTATAAAAGTTTATTTGAGCAAACTGACCACATGGTTGGGAAACAAGATCTCAAATGCTCTGGAAAATGATAGTTTTGCAGTTTCATTTATACATTTAGAATTATAAGGAAGATTACATGAAAGTGGGAGAAAGCAGGGTACAGGATAGCTAACAAGATTATTTGCTCTGGAGGGTGGTTATGACTTATGCACGACTTATGATTAACATCTAGATGCACAAGGACAATGGACAGGGTTTGCTTAAGGCAAAAATAAACCTTTAACTAAAGAAGTTATATGTATGCACTGTGACTACCCACCATGACCTGCTCAGTTAGGAATTTATGATCAGATCACCCTGTGAGGTTACTTATCAAGTTTAAATCTGGATTTATTTGATTTATTATAGAGTCCATTTCTTGCCCACACAGAGGGAGCTCCTGCCAGAAAAGAGGGACCCGGGGAGCAGATATATAATTGGGGTATCTGGCCCAGCAGGCCCAGGCACAAGGCCCTCAGATGCCTGTGTCACCCCTCTGCACACAGCCCCTCGAACTCCCTCTCTTCTCTACTCATTTGGCTCAAAGCTGAGCAGGGTGATTTCTCTGTGTGCGTTTCTTTCTAAAAATCTTTGTAAATTTCTATGGAAAGTAATTTTGCCCTTGTTCTCAACTCTGGTCAGTGAATAACATTCACACCCTCACTTATCTGTCGCCCCGACTTCCTCCCACTCCAATCCTATCTGACACTTCTAACCAACAGACAGGAGGCATCCTTCTCTTCACCTTTTCATCAGAATTGTGAACGCTTTGGAAGCAGGGACCAAACTTTATCTTCTTGCATTACATATAATAAAATTCCTTAAAATTCTCTATATGGTTTCTCATCCATTCTATTTAGTAACATAGGAGTTTGTTGCTTTTTGAGTAATAACAGTTAACATCAATTAAGCATTTACAAAATGCCAAGCACTTTACATAGATTTTTCTCATTTAAAGCTCATAACCACCCTATGAGGTTGATATTATTTGCATCATTTTACAGATCAGAAAACTGAAGATCAGAGAGGTTAGATAACTTATTCAGGACTACTAGATAATTAGAGGCAGGAGCTAAACTCAGTCCTAAACTAGAATTTAACCAGTGTGCCTCATTGCTTTCCTAGGATGTTTTGCTACTGTATCCTTTTATCTGTTGTTTTAAATCTCTGGTGTGTTTGGTCTGAAAGGTAGGCCCAGCCAAACACTTTCTGTGCCTCTCCGTTTGAGCAATAAAGTTATCAAAACGGCTAACCACGACCCAGTCTTGGCAATAGATGGATCTCAAGCCGGAGGGCAGCAATCTGTGACAAAGGCCTGATTGGTTCCTCCAGGCCTAATCTCAGTTTTCAACCTGGGCGTGCCTGTCAGTTCTCCCACCTATTCACTCCCCACTGCGCCACCCCTGCCTCTTGTCGGGATAAAGGCTCAGCCCAGGGGAAGACTGGAAAGCTGTGCTCCTTGGGGGAATCCGAGGACCCACAGTGAGTTAGTTCCGGTTCACAGTCCCTGGGTTCATCTCACTGCAGAGGAATTTGCTTCATCCCCAAAGCGGATAAACACAAATCAGCTCCTTACAAAGAAACACCGAGTCTGAGGTGTGAGCCCTCAGAAAAACCCAGAGAAAACCTGAGAACTAGGCGGCGGAGCCGGGGGGAGGCGTTCCCATCATCGACCCCGCCCCTAGCCCCGCCCCACCCTCCTTCCGCATTCAGGTTCCAAGCCCCGCCCCTGGTAAGCTGCAGCCAATCGGGGAGCCGCGACCCC